TTTTGTTAGAAATTTTGCTGGAAACTTTAATTAGTACATTCTTTGCAGTTTGCAGAAACAAAGCTAATCTGTGGGACATTGAGTTTTTCATCCAAATCACACGATTAACTCATTTTGAAGATGGGCTGTGCTGAAAAATAATGCACAAGTTACAATTTCCACCCAAAAAGGAAAAAATCAGTGTTTTGTGAGAATTTTTGCTGGAAACTTCATACATTCTTTTGCAGTTTGCAGAAGCAAAGCTAAGTTGTGGGAGATTGAGTTTTTCATCCAAATCAAACGATTAACTCTTTTCGAAGATAGCTCGATTTGCCACCCCCACCATCAATTAGCATTAAGCAAACAGTGTGGGAATTAGGGATCGGCCCAGCAGATTGGACAACCCACAAATTTCCAACCACCAAAAATGATCAAAAAATGGAAGTTCCTCACAAATTGCAAATCAAATTCAAGCCTTTATATACACACAAATTCTCCGAAACTTACCATGGAGGTGACTGGCCAAGCTCCCATTCTCCACGAAATCAGCAATCAGGAGCTTCTCCTCCTTCCTGTAATAAAACCCCACGACCGGCACCAGATTCCGGTGCGACAGCCGCCCGAGCCGCCTCATGTGCCCGTAAAACTCCTCCTTCCCGGCGTTTCCCATCTGCCTGAACCTCCGCACGACGTAGCTCTGGCCGCCGGTAAGCGTCGCCTTGTACGACGAGCCGAAGCTCCCGCTGCCCAGAATCTCGGCCGGCGCCTTCAGAAGCTCGCCCAGGGAGAACCTCTCCCTATCGCCCCGCACGAAGTACAGCTTGCCGTACTCGCCGCTTTTCCGGCCGGCGGATGAGGCGCCGCCGCCGCCGTTTCTGCGAGCGGTTTCTAGGGATTTTTGGTATTTTAGGGGTTTTGAGCGCTTTCGCCGGAGGAAGAGAATCGCTAGGAACAAAAGTGCGACTATTGCGACGGCGGCAGTCGTGAGTGCGATTTTGTTCTTGTTTAAGCCGTTTGCTTTGCATGGTTTCAAGGGCTTGCCACAAAGTTTGATGTTTCCTAATTAATGATCAAAAGGAAAATGAAAATGGATTAGGAATTTTTTCCAACATTAGTATACTTTTATTTAAAAAAAATATAATACACATTCCTTAATTAAAAAATATTATATTTCAAAAGTAATATAACAGTTCGATAAAATATTATGTATTTTCGTTAAAAAAATATGACGAGTTGATTCGCCAATTTTGAGTATCTCACGTAAAAAAAAAAAAAATTATTTATTCCAATAAAGTGTTCTTCGCTTGTTAAGTAATGGCAATTAATCTTTTATATGATCAAAACGAGGGATAATGAAAACTTTATCCAATTAAGTGATGTGATTGCATAAAAAATATGCACCATTTAATTAAATTACGAGCATTTTGTAATAAGTTCGTGAGTAGTTTCTTAATTTTTACACATATGATGCTCGATTTATATCAGTTACTAAACACCTTTCTGCAATTGGGGATTACTTGTCCTAAGTTACACTGACATATTAGATAATTTTGTCTCTTATGTAATTAGTCATGTAATTAATCATATAGATTAACATTATTAGGCATGAGCAAGGAAGACATTAAGAATACAGTTTAGCCTTGGCTCTCAAACGTTTGACCTGCATTTGGTGAAACATCGTGCACACCATTTACTCATAATAAAGTGATGCAGCAACAAAAAAATGTCAACCATTTGCAGCAAATTTAACTTTGTGTATGAATGGCTAATAAGCACTTGTGCCAAGATTATCTACTTCTCTAAACTCAACTTCTAATCAANATATATATATATATATAATAATAATAATTATAATAATTTTTTTTTTTCATTTAAAACAACAAATCTCACCTAAAAATGAGCTTGCATTCTGATTCTCAAGTCCAACCGGTATGCCGCCCTCGAGACGATTATTCGAAAAGTTCACAACCAAACCCGCCTGCCGAAAATCGGGCACCCGACCCACAAACCCGTTTTCCTGCAGCTGCAAATCCACGAGCCTCGGCAACCCGAGCAACGAGCTCGGTATTTTCCCGCTAAAAGAGTTAGCCCCCAAAACAACTCTTCTCATTCCCCTCATCCCTTCAAACGAGTCGTTCGGAATTTCCCCTCCGAACCCATTGTTCGCAAGGAAAAGGCTCCTCAGCCTCCCGAGCCGCCTCAAGCCGCCCGGGAAACTGCCCGAGAGATTGTTGTGCATGAAGCTTAGGGTGAGAAGGGGCAGCTCGGTAAGTGGGCCCAAGTTGATTTCTCCGCGGAGGCCCATGTTCTCAAGCCTGAGCCCAATTAGGGAGCCGTTGGAGCAGAGCAGGCCGGCCCAGTTGGGTTTGTTGTGGGTACACAGCGAGGAGTCGAGTGGCTCGCGCCAGCTGGCGAGTGCAGACGAGGTGTCGGTTAGGGATTGCTTGAATTTGAGGAGGGATTTGGCGTACGCCGTGTCATCGGAATACGACGGGACTGCGCAGATGGAGAGCGCGGATAGGAAGATGATCGAGAGACGAGCAGCTTGGTGGGCCATGTGTGTGTGTGTGTGTGTGTTTTGAGGGAAATGTATTTGTATGTGAGTTTGGTTTTTGTTGTGAGAGTGGTTTTTTTGCAGAGAATGAGGAAGGCATGTTAATGGGGTTGAAGAATTTGGTTAGCTGTTATGTTCTTGGCCGGCTTGGATCTTTTGCTTTTATTTTATTTTTTAAAATAAAAAGATATATTTATTGATTTATTTATTATTTTGTTATGTGTGTTGGCAAGATTTGGAAGATGATTACATGATTTCTTGGTGAGAAGGGGATGATTAAGGAGTGTCTGACTTTTGACCACATTTCCTTGTAATCAGTGATGGCTTGTTTTGTATGATTATTATTTATTACATAAAAAAGCAAGAAATAACTAGTAAAATTATCAAATTCCAGCATGTACTCTTTCTTCTCTATAAAGCTGAAACAAAATGGTGAAAACATGTAAATAAGAAGCTGCAAATTGATATATGCGCACAAATATATCTTTGCTCTAAAAAAGATGGACAAAACATCCTTCTACAGCACCAGAACCTTCAATATATCCTTTCCCAGAAGCCATTTGTAACGAAGTCTAGTGGTAACAAGCCAACCAAATGATGGTATCAAACGAACATTTCGAACTCCTCTGATGGAGCAAGAGGAAAAATAATTAAATCATGCCACTAGAAAAAGAAAAAAAAAACAAAAAAAAAAGGAGCTTAAAGCCACTATGCTCAGGTTTCGACCATGGGTTCCGGACCAGATGACTCTACTAGAGATTTGTTGGACTGCCGAACGGAATTGAAAAGAATGTCCTTGATGACCTGGAAGAGAAATTTATATTTTATATACGTGCTGTCAAAGCTTTTTGTCCGACACAAACATGCTTTTAAGCTTAATAGTATTCGAAATTGTGTGGAGAAGGGGGCAAGAGAATGTAAATCAGACTTTACCTGTGACATCAAACCATGAACCTGCTCCACAGTTATCTTTGCGCTATCACGAGTGATCTTAGAAAGTTGAGACTCTTCCTGGAATAAATAAAACATATAAAAAAATAGAATATAAATGTGACTCGGTACTAAAAGGAAAGATTTATGCCATGAGAATAATTTGCACCTCTTTCTTTCTTTGAGGGGTTGCAATCAAGGAACCAAATCGTGAATGAGACAATTGATTTTCAGCTTGCTCTATTTTCTCGGCTGCAAGAAATCAAAAGTACTAATTAATACTGGCCTTGTGCAACGGAATTATATACTTGCATCATACATGCAAGAAAATTACCTAAATCCGAGATTTGGCCAGCAACATAGTCTCCATTTCCGAGCAAAGGAGAAGAAGAAAGTGTGTTCACCCAATACTTATTCCACAGTAGATCCAAAAGATGGCAATCAAGAGATGATTTGAAATATGTGATGTCCAATGCATAATACTGTATACAGGAAGATTTAATTACATGACAATTTGCTAAAAGAGTTTTCAGAGGACAAATAAAATATTGTAAATATGTAGTTATGTTCGAGTGTGATTGTTATCGAAACCTGTTTACAATGCACTCCAAAGTCCTCAATTTTGTTCAAGGGGATTGTCTGATATTCAGAAACAGGCTCATCTGGAGGCTTGTACCCTTCAGGGTATGTCCTAAAAGCGCCAATATCAACTTTTCCAGCAGAAACTGTCCTTGTTGGGTCAATAACAACAGCTAGAAAAGGCTCCTGGAATTGCTGGTTAAGCATTTGTGTCGATACATCTATACCAGAAAGCCAACATCCATAACCTGGATGAGAATGATACCATCCAACTACATTTTCCAAGCGACCCGCCTTTCATACAAGACATTGAATTTCAGGGGAATTAAGGATAATNCACAATTTAGTAATCATATTGCAGGTCAAGCACATACAGATGGTAGCATCAGAAAAATTAAACACAAAGATTCATCTATTGAATAGCAAGACTGCAAGACAGTACATTATTTGATAATCATCAGAATTAATAGGATGAAAATAGGAACTGTTACTTCACGGAGAAAACAAAAAACATACAACATCCCATAATTTGCTAAATCTGCAACAAAGAAAGAAGGCACATTGAGATAAAACTGATCATAGAAGATAACACCGGAATATTTTCTTTCATTTCATAATTTAAACCACCAATGATCAAACAATAGTGACTTAGGGCGTGCTTGTTTATGAAATATTTCATTCAAAATGAGTTATTTTAGTTAACTAGAGTTAATTTTGAAAAAGGTAGTATGGTTAATTGTTAGTGGGATATAAATGATTGGAAATGGTTATTAATGATTTGATGTAAAAGTAGGATATAAATGATTGGAAATGATAGGTAGTTAAAATTATGTGAGTGGATGAATAGTGAATTAAAGTTGATGTGATATGTAAGAATGATTGGTTTATAATATTTAATTATATAAATAATATAAATGATAGTAGGGTTGAGTTAAAGTTGAGTTAGATTTTGAGTGGGAAATGAATTATTTTATAAACAAGCATGCCCTTAGCCTGATATAATTCTTCATCATTCATAAGTTCTTTATTAGGTGACACAAACTTATTCCCCCTTTCCGGAGAACACTTAAGTTTCCAAATAATACCACAATAACTTAAAAGAACTTCTGTGAGATACATAAATAATCACTGGCCACATCTAAATGAGAACAACATTGTGTGTGATACGGATAAAAAAATATGCTTCTGAAGAACCCTAGGTCAGCACAAAACTTATTAAACTAAACTCACAAAATGATCTACCCATAGAAGTCTTTTACATTAGACTCATATCTAGCCCACCGTTAAAAAGCAAAAACCCTTAATTAGGGTCCCCAAATTACCAATGCCTGCACTAACTCGAAACAATATATGAGTATATCAATGGGAGGTCTAACAAAGCTACATTATTTATCATCATATAAGGAAACTTGTGAGAGGACCTATAGAATTGCTTGTGTTGGTAAAACTCGTTAAAGTTCTTTGGGGGACAGCACATCCAGAAACTATGCCCTAACTACACCCTCTGTAAAGCTACTCTCATCCAAAACACCACTCCAAAAACTTCCTGTAAACATCAAAATTCAGCCACAATCACAGCCACCAGCAATCAAGACAACAAAGGAAGAAATCGAAGGCACGAGGGGAGCATTGAAACCTGCTTATTCGTCTGCGAATAATCAACCATGTACTCGTACGCATCGGCCTGCGCGTTAACCCTAGTCTCGGTACCCTCAACGGGGAGTGCAAATGCGTCCATCACGATAATCGCGTCCCCGTCCGTCTTCCCCTGCATAAGCCCCATGACCTCAATCGTGCCGCCGGAGCGCGCGTGGACGACCATCTTGAGAAGCGCGAGCGCCGATATCCTCACGCGCTTGAAATAGTGCGGGTTGTTGGTCCAGGGCTTCTCCTGCTGGAACTTGGCCTGGGCCGCCTCGTCATAGTAAAAGATGGCGTCAGACGCGGAGGAGGAGGAGGAGGACGACGCCGCCGAGGACGTGTCCCCGGCGGCGGAGGCGGTCTCCACGATGTTGTTCTCCAGTTCCCACGTCTGCCGAGCAATCGCCGAGGAGGAGAAGGGATCCATGGCGAAGAGGGTTTTTCAGAGAGGGAAAGCTGTGATGTGCTGCTTTTGCTTTTCTACTGCTGTTTTTGTTTGGGCGATGGGTTTTTATTTGAAAGGAATAAAGTTGCACCAAAATTGATGAATTAGACATTTTATTTATGATGANGAAAAAAATCAAAAGGACGTATTCTGAAAATACGTTTTTAGTTATAAAATGTATTTTAACAATACGTTTTAAAAATAAACCGTATTACTGAAATACGGTTTCAGTTAATATGATTAATTAAGATAATTACCTTGATATAAAACGTATACCGTAAATACGTTTTTATTTATAAAAAATTAATACGTATTTTCGAAATACGTGTTATAATTAAAATTAATTTTATAATTATTTTCGAGTTATAAAACGTATTTTGACAATACGTATTTTAAATGAAATGAATTTTTAGAATTTTGAAAATACAATATTGGTGGACAAAATAATATAAAACATAAAACGTATTTCCGAAATACGTTTTTTGTACAATTTTTCCCCCAAATTCAATTTTGCCCTAAATTGATTCATATAAAAACGTATTCTGAAAATACGTTTTATAAACAAAAAAATATAAAACGTATTCCCAGAATACGTTTTAAACTGCAGAAAAAACAAAATTTTTGAATCCATTTGAAGAAACCAACCTGTTCAACCAACATACACATATCAATCAACGCAACATACACATATCAATCAACCCAACATACACATATCAATCAACGCAACATACACATATCAATCAACACAACATACACATATCAATCAACCCAACATATAAAAGAAGATGAAAAACAATAATTTATAAGAAAGATCAAAATACGGTTTACACACGAATATGTCCACAAATTTCAATACATAAGACACAAACTAACTATGAAGATGAAGGAGTGAACGGTTGCCTAGGTTTGCGCACTCGGTCCCCCCTCCGGAGCTCTATGAGAGGCGTGTCATCATCAAAATCATCAAAATCCTCCGGAGCGCAGTCGTTCCCCCCTCCTTCGTCCGCTTCAACTGAGTAATGCATTTAGTAAAAAAAATCACAAACTCGACTTTAGGAAAAAATAAAAAAAAAATAAAAAAAGCCCAAAAAATAAAATTTTGTTAAGTAAATAGATCTTACATTGTTCAAGGCCGAGGTTCTGAGATTGGAGGTGCTGGGGGGAGGGTGGATTGGTTGGGCGTTGTTCATTTTCGCGGTTACGGGCCCGAGGTCTTCTACCCCCACCAATGTTGCCAGCGGGTCGATGCCTCGCGGTGTGGGACTGTGTCCTCTGGGATGGAATGTAGTCGTCCTGGGATAGAACTTGACTTGACGACGCCCCTTGTGTAGGACCTCGGCCTCCAACAGTCAGGGAAGTGTATGCAAAGTTGAAGGACTGTTGGAATGCGGATTGTGCCTCTGGAGGGAATGTAGGCATTAAGTGTTGAATACTCGATAAGGAGTTATAAACCCCCTCCAGGCCAGAAGTCTGAAAATAAAATTCAAAGTAATTAGTATGAAACAACATAAATAAAAAAAAAA